ATGGAGAAGGCATGGCTCATGTTATTTTGTTCTATAAAATCAAAAAGTTATCACCTGTTACATACATGTATGTCAGAACCTTGCAGTTTAAAAAATAGATAAATATATGAGATATCAAAATTGTCATGGTAACTATGGGTTTTAAAGAGAAAGCTTGAAACCTATACAATAACCTGACAGTGCCTCATTAAGCTTAGGGATTAATTTTATTGGAAAGTAAAAGTACTTTCTGATTGTTGACTAATGCAATGTGATTGATCCCATCTTCCATCAAAATGAATAGCATTGTTAGCTAAGCTAATATTTCTACAATCCGTACCTTTATTCTATTTGCTATTAATTAACTCGAGATTTTAAATCTGATTTATTTCCGTTATAAACGCTGAGTTTAATGGTATCTATTGTTTTTGTGTTATAACAATGGGGAAAGGAATTCGATATTTAGTACATGGTCCCTTTTGGCCAATAATTGTAAATATTTTATTTTGTAATCAAATCTAGCATAGAAATGCAAATTGTTCTCCATTTCCTCTTCACTACAGTAGTTAAACTAATTATCGGTTGCTTCTATATTTCGTTTTGGAAAACTCACTATTGACGATTCGTTATCAATGAAAAGTTTCAAGCATCTACCTCTTAGATAATATTGAAAAGTCAGATCTGCAAAAATTAAAAAATCGTGAATTTATTTATTTTATCTTTTTTAGGTCACACATGTTTTTTAATTCGCAATAATTCGCACCAATGCACACCATTCATCCTCGCATGTTTTCGAATATTTGAGAAATGAAAAGCTGACAACTTTTTTCACCAATTTTTTTTCAAAAATCTCTTAAATAAGTTTTGACGAATAGTAAATGAATGATAAAAGCATATTTTCAAATTTTACATGGGGACTTTAAGAAACAATTGATTAGCATGTAATTAATTTATATTTTAGACAATTAAGTTAGTTTTCAGTCATAAAGCTGTAGGAATGTATAGGCTACCTCTGCAAATATACATTCTTCTCATATTATTGACCTATCCGTGACATCTTGAATATGAGAATAAATTGCTTCATGTGTTTGTTAGAGGAATTCATCAGCTTTAGATTTCTAGGTTGTTTTTTTGGATTGCGTGTGTTATCAGAATTCTGTTGAAGTTATCAATATTGGATGTAGGTAGTCTAATGTCAAAGTTGATTTTTTGATTAAGACTCTGTGTTGATGTCATAGGTGTATCATTGTTTTTTGGGCTTATTATGCCACACCTGGCGAAGGATCAACCATCTAGATGATCTGGGGGGACAGAATTTTATATTTTTGATATGATTTATTATACTCTGAGCATTTCTAATATGATAATAAGATGAAAAATAAATGAAAACCAGTGCTGCCATCTTTTATTCAGATTTTTTCTTGGGCCAGACTTCCATTGACTTCTATATTAAGATCTTGTGAAAGTGACTTTATTTCATGATTTTATCAAAACATGTAGGTTGAATATGTTTAAAACTTGATTGCTATATCATGTGATGACCCTTTTAACATACTTATTGTGATTTATCATCAAAATGTGGGTTGCTAAACAAAAAAAAACAAGGTTTTTAGAAAATTTAAACATTGCATTAATGGAGATTTGTTTTTTTTAAAAAAAGTCATGGAAATGATTTAGATAACATAACTGTATAAATAGAAGTTATTCTTGTAGAAAACAGTTCCCTGAATTCAAAATTTGCCAATTAAAAGAAGGCAACGTAAGTCATTAGAGATCTAATATGCAAATCTCTTAAAACCTCACGAAAAACGAGATTTAGTGAGATTTCAAAAGCTATATAGAAACTGTACTATTGATTAATTTCTAATTAAATCCTATTTTTTAGAAAAGTTTATTGCAGACACATTTTGTATGTATATATTTATATTTAATTCGAGATGAGACATATTAAAAAATGATGTCACTTTTTGATTATGTACTAATATCTTTCAGTACAGTGTAAACATAACCAAAATGGCTTTTCTTTTCTTTGAACAAATTATTTTGTTTGGGTTCTTAGAGAGCTAATCACTTTACTCAAGGAGACTATTCTCCAGTCAATTTTCTCCAATAAATAATGATCAGGTTCTTTTAAGCTGTCACTGTAAACCATACCTTTCAGTATGTAATTAATAACTAGCCCTAGGTACCTTGAAACCTTACACTGTGTACCTGATATCCTTCCCAAGAGCGTCATCGTATTCTTTAACCCCTTGAATGCCAAGGGTGTCAGATGAGTCAATGGATTTCTCAATAGAATGGCTCTAACTTTAGCAAATTTTGTTCAATTTACAAAATACTATGTATTACAATGCTTGTAATTTTTCTTTGTTCAATCATTATCCAAAATAGACATAAAATTAAAACGGCTCTAATTTTGACGAATTTTGTTCAATTTACACAAACAATTTTTCTATGTTCAATTGTCATACCAAAATGAACATCAAATTTCAAAATTATGTATTAAGATAGAAATATTGGAAAACCATATAAAAATGAAAAATGCTCTAGAATTCATGAGGTTGAATAAGGAATTCCTTTCATCAAATCAAGTCACCAAACATCCAATCAGAATATAAAGTAGGTGCAAATTCCTGATTTTACAGTTGAGACCAAATTTGGTCAAAAAATGCCTATTTTTCATGATTTTTTTTATCATAGGCTTGTTTTTAAGAGGAAGAACTAAACATATCAAGTAGTATTAAGGTCTAGTCAGAGGAGAGAAATTAGATATGATCTTTTTTTTATCATAGGCTTGTTTTTAAGAGGAAGAACTAAACATATCAAATAGTATTAAGGTCTAGTCAGAGGAGAGAAATTAGATATGATCTTGCCTAGGGTAGTTACAAACCTTTTTATTGAGCAATTTTATAAAGAGTGACACGAAGGCGGCTAATATATTATTTTAGTCTAATTATTACGTATATCTCTGTATCAGATTTCACATTTCTACTCAGCTTCGCCAACTTAAGTAAAACTAAATAATCAAAAAATCAATGCCCAAAAAAGTTAATCGCTGTCAAACAGAAATAGAATATTTATATTGTTTGTATAAGCTTGATGGTTCAAATAAGTAGCTCCTTATATGGAATTGTCTCCTGAAGGAGAAAACTCGCAGTAAGGTTATTCACCCTCTCAGTCAGGTTATTCACTCTCTCAGTCAGGTTATTCACTCTCTCAGTCAGGTTATTCACTCTCTCAGTCAGGTTATGGCTCTCCCCTCATAGTGATTGTATACTACACTTATCAACGTCAGCCCCTCCCTGATAGTAAACACAAGAGGCCATAGAGGACTCAAGGCCAAAACATTAATCAAAAAACAACTCAGGTATAGCATTTAAGAATGCAAGGAAATAAATCCCCAGAATCCCAAACAATTATCTCATATACACTGAAACAGCAAAAACACCCCACCCCTGACCCCTCCCTGTTTTGAGCTTTGAGAAAAAATGTGTCATAAGGGAAGTAAATTGTGCACCTAAATTCTCAGATTCTATCTTAAACTGCAATATATGGGGGATAAGTACTGCCTCCTTGAATTACCTCTCTACTAGCTTATCATATCACTACATTAAGGAAATGTAGTTCCACTTTGACATGTCCTTTTATGACAACCTGAAAAGGAAAAAATAATTTGACCAAAGATTTGATATAAATAAAAGAAATCCTTTCAGAAAGGTAAAGACAATTTCCGTATGCTAATATTGCATTGATTAAATCTGATACGTTTTCCGATATTTCATGAAGTCAATGGTTTCAAGTTTGTCAGTTTTTCTATTTGTTATGTCTAATAGAAGTATTGGAATACATTATGTTTCATACACCTTGTAAACTAATGAAACGTTTATTTAGATTGGTATGCGTGGGTTTTTGTTATGGCGCAGTGGTCCCTGAATCTTGTTCTGTTTCGAACCTTTATACCTTATGTTTTTAACCTTTATACCTTATGTTTTTAACCTTTATACCTTATGTTTTTAACCTTTATACCTTATGTTTTTCAAAAAGTCTAAGAAGTTCATTTGACTTTACACTAATTTACAGTAGTAGTGGTGATACTGAACATCTGCAGAATTCAAACGTGACTTTACGTTCATGTAAATACCATCATCATCAAAGTAAATGAACAGCAGATATTTGTATAGAGTAATTTAATTATAAATTGTATTGACTTTAATTTAGACTATATATACAACAATAGCTGTCTTCATCACACTCTCATGTTTGATACATAAGCGACTTTTTAAATCATGTTTTGTCTCTTTATGTTTTTTTACTCAATTTATTTCTTCATTTGTATTACATACATATGTGTGTGTTTATATTGTCTGTGCAATTGAATAAGAAATAATACTATGATATCCATTAATGCAAAATAAAACCATTATTGAAATATTCATATCTAAAACCATTATTGTGATATTCATATCTAAAAATATTTTTGTGATATTCATATCTAAAATTGTGATATTCATATCTATAACCATTATTGTGATATTCATATCTAAAACCATTATTGTGAAATTCATATCAGACATGCATACATGGATCATGACAATTTAAACAAAATTATTTGGTTACCTTATAAGTAATATATAGAGTCAGGGATGTCGCCAAGACTTTGCCAAGGGGGAGGTACATGTATCTACATCTAAAAAACAAAAAATCAGTCTCCAACATCATAGCTTGCACTAGAGGCATAGCTTCTCCTGCTCTCTCTCTAGGGTGTGTAGTTCTTCTTTTTCATGAGTCTCCTCAGCACAATGAATGAAATCTCCCCATGCGAATGCCCATGCAATTTTTGTGGTATAGCAGAGTAGTCTATAACTTGTATGAACCTAAAAGTCACATAAGTCACATAAGATAATATAAGGCTCCTCCAAGTAGAAATTTTATGTTATTTGCATGAATTATGATTATATTACATACCAAAGAGCTAAGTGGATATTGTCATTGGTTGTAACGAAATATTTATATATTTTCAGAAAAGGTGAAGGGATATTCCGATCAGATAACATTTCTACGATCTCCATCTTGAAAGATGTTTTATCAAAAGAGGCAACAAGGAAGAAAATCCACCTGAATATCAACTATGGTATGTAGTTTTTGGAATACCAAGCTTTAAAAGGGTTTGAATTCAGAGTAGCTTTATGTCACCACCACAAGTTGTGACATATTGTTATGGTCCCCAACTTTTTTGTGACGGCATCTGGCAGTTGGTATTTGGGGTAAGGTGTCTGTAGCAATTGGCAGGTGGAGACATTTTGCAAGGAGTTAATGAAAAGTATGTGTTCCCAGGGGATTAACCTCTTGAATCCAAGGCTCTAAAATCTGTTGAAACCAGAGAATTTTTTATTTTTGCCAACCTTTGACATTTTACTACATATCTATTACCTATACAATTTTAAATGCTCAACTTAGTAAAATTAGACTGCACAGATCATTTCTTCACATTTCAAAACAATTTTTGTTTAAATCGCATGAAAATTTTTCAATAAGAGCAACTTAAGTGAAAAATTTTGTGACAAATTTTCTAATCACTCTGGGTTTCAAGGTCATTTCTGAGGTGATAGGAAATCTCCAGCTAGTCAAGAGGTTAGATGAGCACATATTATACAGGGTGTCAAATAGATATGTTCTCCCCCTCAGCTTTAACATCTACATAATGTTGCATAGCTTTTTTGTCTGCATGATATCTGAATTGTTCTTTAGGGCACATTCAAACTTAAGCTTCATGGAGCAACTCCACAAGAAGTTTCAGATGATTAGCTCAACTAGTTGCCCTTTTATGCACATAGGTTCATACTTTTGAAATCAAGGGGAGAAGGGGAGAACTTATTTATTTGACACCCTGTAGTTGTGAAAGACAAAGGTTCACTCTTAAGCAAAATCAAACAAATGCAAAGGTACTAGACTACAGAATTCCAGTAGTTAAGAAATGTGAATAAAAAATAATGATAAATAAATGTCTTTGAATGGTCTCTAATCAATGTAGAATGTAGATGTGATTATTTGTTTAAAAAATCTGTTAGTTGTTTTTTCTCAGAATTGACTGAGTTATTGTTTTGCTTGTGAAATCTGGGATTAACATATTAAGTATATTCAGATTCTAATAATTGCGAAAAAAAGCCTTGCAAATAAAATTATTCATTTGATTGTGAAAAAAGTATTATGCTCTTAACAATAGTTAGCAATTATTTTTTACATTGAGAGGAATGAAGTTGACCCTTCAGACTTTTCAGGAGATAAAATGATAATTCCTAACTGGCCATTACAACCTGGGAATATAGCAAGCTGTTTCAGGGACAAGGACAATATACTTGGCTATTGATGTACTGTTCACTTAAGTGCCTACCTACAAACATATCCACTGAGTGCCAAAGCCTACAAAAGTCTATGTCAGTGCATTGGAAAGGAGCATTTTTGCTAGAGGTGTCATGGATACTCGATTGTGTTTTGACCCGCGGAATTTCCACTCTCGGAACGGAACAGTAAGAAAAATTCCGAATTTCGGTTCTGATCCAGAACAAGAAAATCTTACGCTTTCTCAGCTTGTAGCCCTTAAATCACAAAAAAACAACATTTTTGTTTCAATTTTTTACACCAAAAGAAATCTACTCTTTTCACTCCTTCTCATTGAACAGTTTTGAAGAGCTTTTTACTTCTAAATAAACCTAGACAATCAACTTATTATCCCATCGAACGAAGTTCGGAGGGATATAGGGAACGCCTCCGTCCGTCTGTCCGTCCGTCCATCCGTACGTCCGTACGTCCGTACGTCCGTCCATCCATCCGTTGCCGTCCGCCCGTCCGGACAATAACTCAAATACCATTGGCCCGATTTTGTTCATATTTTGTAGACATATACCCTATGGGGATAGAAGTTCTGCTCGAAAGCTAATTTTTAAAATGGCCGCTCATTTCAAAATGGCGGCCATTTTAATGCCGAATTTACAGTAATTTAGGTGCAATATGTAAAACTGTAATACCAATATGTTTTAAATGTAAAAAAATTATATAGGATATTAATAAAGCTAGAAATGTAGATATTAAAGAAGCACATGGCAGCCATCTTGAAAAATGGCGGCCTTTACTCGTTATTTTACGATTTTTGCTGTAACTCGAAAAGTAGTGGAGCGATTTTGTTCATATTTGGTATGTGAATACTATAAACATTGCACACTGTCTAAAGACACTTTTGGTAGAAGGTGGCCATTTTAAAAAATGGCTGCCATTTTAACCTATTTTACTATAACTCAAAAAGTAGTGAAGCGATTTTGTTCATCTTTGGTATGTGAATACTACAAGGATGGCACACTGTCTAATGACACTTTTGGTAGAAGGCGGCCATTTTGAAAAATGGCCGCATTTTAATGTGTTTTACTATAACTCGAAAAGTAGTGGAGCGATTTTGTTCATATTTGGTATGTGAATGCTAAAAGCATGACACACTATCCTATGACACTTTTAGTAGAAGGTGGCCATTTTGAAATTTTTTTTTAAAAATAGCCGCCATTTTAATGTATTTTATAATAATTTGAAAAGTAGTGAAGCGATTTTGTTCATATTTGGTATGTGAATACTGTAAACATGGCACACTGTCTAATGACACTTTTGGTAGAAGGTGGCCATTTTTCAAAATGGCCGCCATTTTAACGTATTTTACTATAACTCGAAAAGTAGTGGAGCGATTTTGTTCATATTTGGTATGTGAATACTATAAGTATGGCAAATGGTCTAATGATACTTTTGGTAGAAGGCGGCCATTTTGAAAAATGCCTGCCATTTTTGCTATATACTTTGTTTGTAAAAATATGGCTGTTCGATGGGATTCGCTACACTTTGGCATTGCCGTTGTTCTGGTTTTAATCTACACATGCAGACACTCTGTTCCGAACTGTTCTAAAATTCCATTACATCCTTTCCGAAGCAAAATGTTCCGAACCAAACCATTCCGATTTTTGTTGTTCCCTGACACCTCTAATTTTTGCTATAAACAATAAAAAATCCACAAAACAGCAATATGTTGCAAACAAAATGCCTCTGTCTCAAATGAATTTGCGATTCAATAAGTTGCATATAGAACTCCGTCATCATTTGAAGCCATTTGAAGGAATTTGTAGAAAAAATGCAACAGAAAGAAAACTTTAGCTTGTCACCCTTAGACAATTCAGTTTTGTAGACAGTTCTGAATTCATATTTAAAAAGCTGATTTCTCGTAAACATTCTTATGTAATTAAGCGAAGAAGATGCATTAATTCCACTGGGAGGATTTCTTTGATGAGCAATTACTGTTCAATTATGGAACCTGAGAAAGTGGCCCGTAATAATCTTGCTAGTTTTCTACATTAAAGTAGGCAGAGTAGAATGGGATGAAGGGTAATTTGTAGAGTAGAATGGGTAATCAGGGTAATTTGTAGAGTAGAATGGGTAATCAGGGTAATTTGTAGAGTAGAATGGGTAATCAGGGTAATTTGTAGAGTAGAATGGGTAATCAGGGTAATTTATAGAAAAGAATGGGTAATCAGGGTAATTTGTAGAGTAGAATGGGTAATCAGGGTAATTTGTAGAGTAGAATGGGTAATCAGGGTAATTTGTAGAGTAGAATGGGTAATCAGGGTAATTTGTAGAGTAGAATGGGTAATCAGGGTAATTTGTAGAGTAGAATGGGTAATCAGGGTAATTTGTAGAGTAGAATGGGTAATCAGGGTAATTTGTAGAGTAGAATGGGTAATCAGGGTAATTTGTAGAGTAGAATGGTAATCAGGGTAATTTGGTAACTTTGAGCCTTTTCAACTAGTCTTTGATATATTGTCATGAGCATAGTTTTCTTAGTGTCCCACTGGGGTTGCCTTAATGAGAAACTACACAACAGCAATGCCAAGGTGTTGCAAATCCCATCGAAGGTCATGGCTGCTATTTTTGGAAATGGCCATCAATTAGCCCAAAATGTCATTAGAAAGTGTAATAAGCTTTTAAGTACTTACATACATATAGTTTAACAAAATTGCTCCACTACTTTTCCAGTTACAATAAAAAATACCAAATGAATTGTAAAAATGGTGGCCAAATTTTCAAAATGGTCAAAATTCTTTTTTTGCATTCAAAAATACAGTAAAATTTTGAAAATAGATTTTCAAGCAGCTAGAGCTTGTATTGACATGGGACATATTCATGTAAAATATAAAAGATATTGGGCCAACTGGTATTTGAGTTATTGACTGAATGGATGGATATACGTACCAACGGAGCCATTCTCTATATCCCCTTGAACTTCGTTACCATGGATTAAAAGTGTCATAATCATTTAGAATGCTGTAACGCTGAATATGAAAATTGTACTCATTGTTCAGTGTATCAACTTTACTATGGCATTGATGATATTTTATCGAAGTGTTGAAGTGGCTCTTCTTCAAATCTGACTGCAATATTTGCCTATTACTCAATCTGTACAGTGTGGTTAAAAGTCATGCTAAACAATCTAAAAAATATGCCGCATTTTTTCTAAATCGTGGAGTTCTCTTTAGGTTGAGTAAATTGCGGAAACAGTTGGAAACCTTAAACATAATACATTCATAAATATACATTTATTGTGTAATATTATATCTTTATGGAATAAATGTCTACATAATAAACTTTATAGTTTCACATAAATATAATAGTAAAATAATAGTCAAATGTCACATTGACTTTTCCACACAAATTAGAACTCCCACTCTCAAGCCTAAGGCTAATTTATTATATAATACTATATAATATTTTTATTTAGGTGAACACCTTTTGTAAGTGATATTCCACATAGGCCAGATACTACAGTTATTCAATGAAATAGAATTAAAAATTTGTTTTATTAATCACTGTCAAGTTAATAACATTGAAAAAATTTATATTTCAAATGAATTATATATGAAATATAAAATTGCATAAATACATCAATGAAATTGAAATAGCACTGGACTAATTCAATCCTGGGGATGAATAAAATCAAAATTACACTGAACTAAGTTACATACATTGTGTACTTTATTGATTACCTAAACATCCTTACATTTTAGTTTTATCCAATTTGTCATAGAAGAATCAGCACAGCCATAATATTATTTTAATTGAATTGTTATGAAGGATATAAAATCTGTTAGCCCAATTAAAGGCTAGAGGAATAAAGGCTAAATTAAAGTAAATATCCAGAGGTGTTTTGAAGCATTTTCAGCAAGCTTAAAACTGCTCAACAAGTACTGAAAAAATGCATACAGTAAAACCTGTCTTAATGAACACCTCTTTCTTGTGAACACCAGTCTCTACTGGATACCTTTACTCTGCACATACTCTACTGTCTTCTGTATAGATTACCCTCTCTGCAGTGAACATTGACCTAACCCACTGGAATACTTTTAGTTAATGTGGATTTTTGAAACATTGGCACTGTATCCTATCAGAATACTACTCAATAATATATAACCGAAATGTGGATCAGATGAATATAACAATGAAAGATATATTGATATTTATTGCTCATAAAAAATGTGCAAAAATCAAACCTCATGAGTATATCACTTGATATGTGCTGAAAGTGCCTCTGAAATATAATTATATTACATCTGAATGTATATTGATGGATATACATATGTGATGTTTCAGACATAAATGATGCCTCTATACCCTACACACTACAGCTGATCCACCCCAAGCTAGAATATCAGCTTGGGGTACAGTACATGTCTTCAATATATATTTAATAATTAATGTATATGTATGTGTTGTTTCAGAGATAAATGATGCCTCTATACCCTACACACTACAGCTGATCCACCCCAAGCTTGAATATCAGCTTGGGGTACAGTACATGTCTTCAATATATATTTAATAATTTATGTATATGTATGTGTTGTTTCAGAGATAAATGATGCCTCTATACCCTACACACTACAGCTGATCCACCCCAAGCTTGAATATCAGCTTGGGGTACAGTACATGTCTTCAATATATATTTAATAATTTATGTATATATATGTGTTGTTTCAGAGATAAATGATGCCTCTATACCCTACACACTACAGCTGATCCACCCCAAGCTTGAATATCAGCTTGGGGTACAGTACATGTCTTCAATATATATTTAATAATTTATGTATATGTATGTGTTGTTTCAGAGATAAATGATGCCTCTATACCCTACACACTACAGCTGATCCACCCCAAGCTTGAATATCAGCTTGGGGTACAGTACATGTCTTCAATATATATTCAATAATTAATGTATATGTATCTGATATTTCAGAGATAAATGATGCCTCTATACCCTACACACTACAGCTGATCCATCCCAAGCTAGAATATCAGCTTAGGGTACAGTACATGTCTTTAATATATATTTAATAATTTATGAATATGTATCTAATATTTCAGAGATAAATGATGCCTCTATACCCTACACACTACAGCTGATCCACCCTAAGCTTGAATATCAACTACTACTGGCTAAGAAGGTTCAACTTATTGATGCACTCAAGGTAAAGCCAATTATCATTAAGAGATAGAATAGACATCATAGCAATTGAAAAGCAATAAATGCAGTTAAGGACAGGGTGCATGTTGGGAAATTTTCTGCATTCCTCAATTGAGTCACATGTTATTTTTCAAACAAGAATAACTCCTTCCCCACATTGTCTACATCTTCCAAGTTTGCACAAAGAGTGCACTTATGTGCCTAGAAAAGCCTTGTGAGAAGGTTTGTTTTGTAAAATGTATAAAAAGGAGTGATTCTTGTTTGAAAAATAACATTTGACTCAGTTGAGGAATGCAGAAGATTTCCCATCATGCACCCTGACCTTAAATTACATCCCATGTAGACCATCCTGTGGCAGTTGATATTGTTTTTCCTAGTCATACATTTATGTATATTGAGTAGTTAGTTTCCTGTTCTGTGAGAAAGATGTTAAATCATGGACTTACTTTACTTGGGGAACTATCAGGAGTGTTACGAATGGTAAACTTCATTTGGTGGATATTTATAGGGTACAAGGCTAGTTGAATATAATCTTTGGAAAATGCAAAAGGATTCACAAAAATCAGAATGAAGTACTTGTTTTATTATATTACTGTCAGGCTCACCATTCTCAATATCATTGAGTAATATGCTTCAACATTGCTGAATACATTTATATTGGTCAAAACCTTTTTTATGTGCCTTGATTATATTCAATTGTTTGTGTTTCTACAGTACATTTTCTCCCATGGATAGTGTTTCTACAGTACATTTTCTCCTATGGATTGTATTTCAGGAGCTACAAGTCCATGAACAAGACATCTCATTCATGTCACCTGAATACCAACAGATTCTCAAAGATGCAGACAAACTCCAAGAAGAGTACAAGAAACAGCCCTGCCATCTGGAAAGACTTTATGGTGAGTTTTTGTTTGGTGAATGGTAAATCCTATACGGCATATGATATATTATTGATGTTTGACCAATCACAAAATATTTCTCTGTCAAGGGCTGAACCAAATGCTGAAATCTGATTGGTCAAACATCAATAATATATCATATGCCATATAGGATTTAATCGCGTCCGTTTTTGTTTGATGTGAGTTGTGAGACCATGTTAAGCCTCAGGTTGAGACAACTGTGGTCGCGCCAGGCTAATGCCATACTAGACTAATGTTACATTATGTAATGTTTTGTTGGAGTAACATCATGTTTGAATAAAAACCTCTTCATTTTCGTTTAAAAAAATTCCAAACATGAATCAAAAATCACAGTCCACAACATTCAGTTGTGTCTCTATATGGCTTATAATCTAGCTAATTGCCCTTGTGAAATAAAAATAAGAATTACAAGAACATTGAATTGAATGGAATATCTCCTGTGAGGATATAATGAAAGTGTATGCATATATATTTTCAGGTATGATCACAGATCTATTTATAGACAAATACAAGTTCAAAGGTCAGAATGTGAAGAGTCGTGTACCCCATCTATTGGAGGTTCTGGACAACTATGAACTTCAAGGACTAATTGAATTCTTTCAGACTTCTTAACAGAGCAAACAGCAATCCAGGAACCTTATGCCTCTAAAATATTGTATATAGCAATCTCCGAAATTCAAGTGTGTTTCACAATTTTAAGACGAAATTATGCGACAGACTTTTTCAATAGATCTTTACTTCTATTGGTGAACCATAAAAAACTAGGCTTTTTCAGGCAACAATGTTTCGAAACAAAATTGTAAGGAATTTTCAAAGATTACCAAGTTTATCCTATTTCTGAAACTATGAAAATGACCTCATCACCATGTAATATATAACTTTTATTGACTCTTTAGATGTCATGACCTGACATATTTGTCAAAATTAATGGCATGGTTTACTGAAGTTGTCTTGTGAGTTTCATTGGGAAACATTGCTCAATATTTTTTCTTGAAATGTGTACAATAAGTTTCTTGGAAAAAAATGGGGAATTCAGTGAGATCTGTATGTTAAAGGCTGAAAGTGGTACCAAAGATACAGGAGATGATTTTATTTATGGACAAAATTGTACATAATATTGTTACTTTAAACTGTAAAATAGTACAATGGAATATACAATTCAGAGATACGATTCAAATTCAATCAGTTGAATTCTTTGAGTTGTTCACAAGATTGAGTAATATAAAATTGAATTAAAGAAATACAAGCATTCCAAAAGTGTTTTTGTAAAATTAAGTACAATCTTTTTCGATGAGCTATATTTAATGAATATCAACTAGGCCTACAGTAAGCTGGATATTTTATGAAAAGTAGATGTACATGTAATCAAATATGCTATTTGAGTTACCAACTATTTTGTGAAACACAAAGATAGATATTTTCTTATATCGGGTGCACTGTACTTGTACTCTGTACTAGTCCTTTAGCCTGGTAGTATTTGATTTTTCAAATACATTTAATATATTTTAAAGTCAAGGAATAGTTTGAGAGCTAAAATCTTGAATGTTTCTAAGTAGATGTACATGTTTATGCACCATATTTTGTCTCAGCATTATGTGTGTTCTTTAAAAGATATTTGTTGTTTCTGTTTGGTTAGAGTTTACAGATAACAGGGTTTCTAGAAGGAAATGCATCAACAGTATCAAACCAGAAAATCATATTTCACTGATTCTTATTATTGTAAAATGGCCATAAATTGCATAACTCTGGTAATAAGGTATCCAAATATAGATATTGATGAAAATATTGGCTTTCAATCTATCAAGTTTTATATAACAAATGGGAAATAATTATTACAAAATGTCAATATGTTTTTTTATATCTCATTTTCTCTGTTCTATTCTATGTATGTATAATGAAATATATTCAATGAATCTCTGAATGGCTTTCCTGAATGGTATTGAAGAAAGCACGAACTAGAAATATTATTTTCATGTCAAGAGAAATATAAAATTCATGGTTTGGTTGAACTGTTGTAACTCTGTAGTCAATCAGATATTCATGTATAATTATGAAGAATCCGTCCTGAAATATGTTGTTGTTTGTAGTATATGACACACCTAAAAAGAGTGCTGTGTCAGCTCCATCTATACTGTATTGTCACCATAGTCTCCAACTTTTCTGTAGATGGCATCTGGCATTCGGCGTTTCAAATTAGAGTTTGCAACAAATAGCAAGTGGTGACATTTTGTATGTTCATGCCTTGTTATAACTTTATTATGAAACTATTCAGTAAAGTTTAGGGCCATTTCTTATTGATATATCGTCGATCAATTTGTGGTTTTTAATAGGAGCAGTGATAAACAGTGTAAATGTACATATTGTATCAGTTGTAAGTATTTAAAGAATATATACAAATTGTAAAGTAAAACAACAGGACTTTTGTTGTTATTGCATAAAAAATTATCATTTTTCAAAAAATACGTGAAAGTTGGTTGCAAGTTTAGACGATAGCTATAAATCCAAAATGATAATATGAATACACTCTCAGGGGTTTCAGTAGAATTTCTCAAAATAAATAAATGAAAATCATAAAAACGGGGAAAAGTTGAAGTCTTTAAAAACAATTGGCAATTTTGTGAAAACAACCTATGAAAATCGCCTGTTGCCTGCTGCTAACGAAACCTCGTGTGGCCCAAATAGGGAATTTTGTTTGCCAAACTTTTGGAGGGGAGTGTACATCATGTACATTGAATATCATTTCCATATACATAGAGTCATTGGAGACTGGTCACACCCATACTCAGCTTTTGCCAAGAGGGTTCAATTTTCTAAAAATTCTAGGGGGTTCACTTTTAACAACATTTGCCTAAAATGGCATGAAAAGAGCTCAGAATGGTGAAAAACTGCATGATTTTGAAGTCATTTTTGGCCAGGGGGTACTTCAAACCCCCTCGACCCCTAGCTACAGGCCTGCTGGTGTTCCATCTTATTACATATGGAATAAACATTTTATTAATACAGAGAATAAAATGTCTAACAATAAGCACCATCTATTTTAAAATACACATATATTTTATCTTTTAAAGGAAAATAAGGTTGTATAAAATGTGTATAATGGTTATCAAAATTACATGTATGGATGTATTACTATACAATCAGTATGCTATATAAATTGTATAAAATATAATTATGAATTACATTCATATATTGTCTTTTGATAAATTACTGCAATGTTTAAAACATTGTATATGATATAAACATTATGAAACCAATTTAATTACAATACCTTAGTAAAAAAAATGTTTTAATATATTAAATACACTTCAGATAACTCAACTAAAATCTTGAATGATTTTAAAAACAAAAATAATTCAACACTACTCTCAATTTAAGATGTTTTGCAATGAATGAGAAAACAATCAAATATATTGATTTCTTGCATTGGAACGGTACATATTATGAGTAGAAATTATTTAAAAAAAGATTTTTGTAAGCCATTCATTGAATGCAACAAAATGTCTAAAATATCATATCAGACAAAATGATTAAATACATGTTAATTGATTGTACATGTAAATAAAAAATACATGTTAATTGATTGTACATGTAAATGAAATAATACATGTTAATTGATTGTACATGTAAATAAAATAATACATGTTAATTGATTGTACATGGAAATGAAATAATACATGTTAATTGATTGTACATGTAAATGAAATAATACATGTTAATTGATTGTGCATGTAAATAAAATAATACATGTTAATTGATTGTACATGTAAATAAAAAATACATGTTAATTGTTAAAACATGAGAAAATCATGGAATAAAAAAAATGTTTGTATCCACAATATTGCTTTCTCTCATCAAACTAAAATATATTATTATTTTTCATGCCATCTTTTTATCTAACCTTATCATCCTAAGATATAATTCTTCAAAATACAGGTTTGGAATTGGTTACATTATCTTGAAAAGTCTAAGATCCAGTGCTCTCCATGAAATGAGATAGGAGCTCTCTGATTGTCATGGAAATAATTCAAACCTCATAAAAGGACACCAAATATTCAATATGATTTTTAATGTTTGAACACTGAGAATTTTAATGCACTCAAAAATAATATGTGACATAATTAAGTGTTTGGGGCGTACATGACATAATCACCTCAAAAAAATTGGGACGAGATCATATTTAATAATAGCTAGTTTTTATGATTTTCTACAGTAAACTGTGTTAAGTGGAACACCTTTGCATGTGAAAACGCTCCATAGGTAGAATACTTCAAAGTCCAGTTTCTCTTTCATTTTATGTGAAATTAACCTCTATAAATGGAATATTAAATGTGGAAATATTTTTGAGGTATCAAAGGCTAGGCATCTTACTTACACAGATTTTACTGTTTTTGCATACCTCTGTGTCTAAACAATTTTTTCGAATGAGATTTGTAGAATTTTTTTATTTTTATCCTACCGTATTGATCAACAACATTGTTTTCTTTTTCTGTTATGTCATTGTTTTGATTTGATCCGTTTTCAGCTACACTGTCTTTGTTCTTACTGTAATAGTCATTGATGATGCCCATTACAAATTCATTTTCCTCTTTTGTAACATTTCTCCCTGAAAAAAACATAATACATAATTCACACATAGCTAAGCAAGGTGTGTCCGGCCAATCAGAACAGGTTATTTCATATAACTGCATTGCAATATACATGTACTACTTTAATTCAACCAAGGTTATTTATAGATTCTAGTGAAACTAATGAAATCATTAAGCTGATCAATTTCATAGTTGAGTAATGACTCAATGCATTGTGGTCAATTCATTCCAATCAGGCATTGTTTTCTAAACTTAGCACTCGATGCTGCACATATTTTGGCAAGTTTGAAACAACACCTTTGAGGAATTAAATTAGCCCACAATGCACCGAGTCCAGGACTTAAATTCTAAAACCATTCATCCTTTCCACATTGAACATATGTTTTTCAAATAAAGAATAGATCCTTATTATACGATGGTGAGGGCTCTGTTAAAAACATATGAGCCTGGCCATAGGAAAACCGGTCTTATCACAAAAATTAGAATTGTGCTACAGAGCAAAAAATGTGCCAAAGATTAAGAGGAAAATGTGCTAAATTCAGATCCGACTTTTGGGTCTATATATGGAAGAAAAAATTGTTAAGACATAAGCCATGGCTCATTTGAAAGGTCTCTTTGTGCTTTCTAAGATAAACAAAAATCAGAATATTGAAAAAATCTGTGATAAGACCCCTTTTCCTGTGGCCTGGCTCATATATTACTCACACAATGATGGATCCCTTACATAGTTCAATAAGTCTGGCTCTGCATCCTCTGATGTATCATTTCTATTGTTGCTTTTTTCACATGTAATTTGCTTCAAAGGTTCTCGATGTGAATGTGACTTTTGTTCGCGTATACACCTTATTTCAGGTACATGTGCTGAAAAAAATAAAATGATTTAATTTAAAGTGGCAACAAATTCTCAGTCTCAATTAGTTTTATGAGATTCTAGGCTTGTCATGGAATCTGGATTTTTTCATAAAATTTCAATGTTGTCAAGGTATCAACGTAGTTCTGTATGTTTAGAAATTTTTATGGCTTTATAATGCTCCTTTTTCCATTTAAATGTAGCTTTGAAATCTTCAAAATGTAATTTTACGATATGAAATAACTAGCCACAGAATACAGCACAATGCAACCAAGGTCATTTATAGATAGAGAAACTAATGCAACTGATAAGCTGATCAATTTTATAGTTGAGTAAAAGTCCACCAATAGTATCATAGGGAATAACAAGCCAAGTGCTCATGCAGGTCAAGAAGTAAGTGTTGAATGGTTGTCAAGGTGACAAATTGACCCTTTGAGTTTCTTTGAAATCTATTCTTTGAAGTCATTTTGTATCTTTTGAGTGATATTGTACAAAATATGTTGCAATGTGTGAAAAGAATTTAAGCCCAAACCTCAATGCATTGTGGCTGATTCATTCCACTCAGGTGTTGTTTCCTTAACTTAGCACTCAATGCTGTGCATCTCATGCGAGACTTTGAAGCAACACCTTTGAGGAATAATAAATAGTCCACAATGCACTGAGTCCAGGACTTAAATCCTTGAACCATTTATTCTTTCCATATTGAGCATATAAGCTTTTCAAGAATAGATCCTTAGTATCTGATGATTAAGACTCTGTTAAAAATTCCTATTACTCACACATCGATGGATTCCTTAAGGAGTTCAATAAGTTAGGCTCTGTAGCCCCTGTTTTAGCATTCATCTCTTTAACAATATGCGAATATGTCTTTTGTTCTTGTATACACCTTATTTCAGGCAGTACTGAAAAAATATAATGATTTAATTTATTTAAAGTGGCAACAAAGAATACAAATAGCAAAATTTTGGAAATGATCCTGAATTATTTAGTTTGTCAAGGGGGGGGGCACATTTCAAGTCAGGGAGGGAAAAATTCTTGGACCCCTAAAACCAAAATATTACCCTTTGCATTCGTTCGACTTCGCTTCTTAAAAAAAGAGCTTCTTCTACTTTATAACGTGACTCTGCAGTGCAAGCAGTGTACCAAAATATGGGCCGAAATTTTGAAAATTGAAGGGCCATTTTTGGCCCCTAAAAACCGAAAAGTGGGCCCAAATTTTGAAAATTGAGGCCCATTTTCTTCAAAAATTTGGCCTGAAATTAAAAAATAAGGCCTAGTTATGACCAAAAGGCCCACTTTTTGAGGTTTTTTTTGGGCCCAATTTTTTTTCTCTGGGCCCAACTTACCCCCAACTCACCCCCCCCCCCATCCGCTAGTGTTGTACAACACTGAATCACTATGAAAAGACTATCAGATCTACCTCAAAGTAAGCATATTTCGGGGGTTGGTCCAGAAGTTGTCAACGGAAATCCCTTCCAACACAGAGTCTTACACAGAGTAGAAAAAAAGGAAGAGATTGAAAATTTACAATTTGCTGATTTTCTAAATAGATTCTATAAACTAGATTGTTACCTGCCGCATCTGTTTCATTTACACATGTGCCTAGACAGAGGCCTAGAGAACCACCAGTGCAACGAATGCAGTCTCCCATCATGATTTAGTGGATGTCCAACAAATATAAATAACTTTTCTAAATTGTCTGCATGATTGCCGTTCATAAGCTCTTCAAAAAGGAAGTTACGTTTACCATGAGTAGATCTTCAAATTCAAATTCATTCAGGGGTGGAACTTTAATTTTTCTCACGAAAATAAACCACCAAGTAAATCATTTCATTGAATATTACGAATATTATTGCATCGCGTATTTAGAAAACAAATAAATTACAAAAATGATAATTAAATGTAGTGACGTAAGTCGCAACACAAATGCGTAACGTTTGTGTAATAATTTGATAGAGCTCTAGTAGACTCTAGACTATTGTTTGGCGGGAAATTCAAAAGTACACTAAACTTATCCAGTGCCAGTCACGGGATAACACTAAACTTGATGGATTTGACAAGGGTTGGCAGAAATTGACATGATCACAATTACCGGGCCATATCATCTCTAATCCTTACGATTGGCCTGGAGTAAGAATATTGAATGTTTTTAATACGTTTGAATTTTATTACCATTTGTATTTTAGCTACATGTTGTATTGATATGCCCAGGACACTTTAATAAATTTTACAAATACAAAAAATAATGGTGATATACAGTGTACGGTCGAATATCAAAGGTTCTTTGGCGACTTTAGATGACACCCTTGGTATACGCAGCTAACGAAAATTGACCGGTACGGGTCAAAAGCTGGACCGGTACGGGTTAACGGTTTTATTTGAATTTAAAATAGCCGTAACTTGCTCAATATTGACTTCCTCGTGTCTAATTTGAAATATATGATGCCTCCCGATGCTTTTAAGTACCCCAATTATTTACAGATTTTTAAACGGACCAAAACTCTCTAAATGCGCATTTATGCTCTTTTCTCTCGAGAACGACTGTCTTATTTTCACGACTAACTTTTATTTAGTACTTCTAACATATAAGATCTATTTTTCCCCATCAAGGTATGATGTAAATGACATGCTATTTACATCTTGTGAGTTTCAATGACGCGCGTTTGATTTTATAAAAAATGCCAAACTTTGTGACAAAGAATTTCATCCTGCTTGCAGCGAGAAGACGGACCGGTTCGGGGCAATAGCTGATGAAATTCTTTGTCACAAAGTTTGGCATTTTTTATAAAATCAAACGCGCGTCATTGAAACTCACAAGATGTAAATAGCATGTCATTTACATCATACCTTGATGGGGAAAAATAGATCTTATATGTTAGAAGTACTAAATAAATGTTATCGTGAAAATGAGACAGTCGTTCTCTAGAGAAAAGAGCATAAATGCGCATTTAGAGAGTTTTGGTCCGTTTAAAAATCTGTAAAAAAATTGGGGTACTTAAAAGCATCGGGAGGCATCATATATTTCAAATTAGACACGAGGAAGTCAATATTGAGCAAGTTATGGCTGTTTTAAATTCAAATAAAACCGTTAACCCGTACCGGTCCAGCTTTTGACCCGTACCGGTCAATTTTCGTTAGCTGCGTATACCAAGGGTGAATGATAATAGTGAAGCGGGAACGTTCGCCCGGCTCTTATATTGAGACTGGGAGAGGAGAATAGTATAGCGGGAGGGGTTAACAAGAGTAATTTCTACCAACTCTAAAAGTCAGAGTCATGTAGCGTACCTTCCACATATACTTACATACGACAAACTAATCCAATGTGTTTCAATAATATATTTCCAGTATAATTAATTCCTTTAGTAAATTAGTACAATACAGCTTTGTACATCATATCTCCGGTAAATCTGAATGCTCATAAAATATAAATCTGTAGAACGTGTAGAGAGTTGTAAAACTGTGTAAATCTTGTAAAGGCTAAAATATATGTTCAAATCTTGTCAAATCTCACATCTCTTCTCTCGCACCTAGTGATGACATTTTATACTGTATTTTCCTACCCTTATGAGCCAATCATGTCCATTCTCAGTCGAACGGATCATGATTGACAGCAAAGGGCAGTCTTAACCAAATAAAATGTCATCCCAAAGGTGCTCACTGACCAGGCCACGTGTCAGTAAGATGATGAACTGATGAAACGTTGATTAAAAGAAACACAATAATGAAAACTATATGATCGTTCTGCTACACAGCTCCCCACAAGCCGTTGGAAACTCCTGTGACAACAGAACTCTAATAACGGAGCAAACGATATCAAATATTTTAAACGAAAAGTAATAAAATTGTCAAATATACTAAGTGAGTCACCATTTAAAATCAACATTTTTGCTAATAATATGTCCATAATAAATAATCCAACCATGCGATGCTAGAATTGTCTCTTGGTGTTCATTCAGTCCATGATTCGATAATAAAATCCAGTAGTTTAAGTCTATAAAATCAGCGTCTCGTTTGTCAGCCTCCCCGTCAGCATCCGCCATATTGGTACTTTCACTGGATCCCCGTCGACTGGAATTCGCCGGTAATTAGAGTCCGTAAAGAAACAACCAGATAGCTACGGCAATTCAGGAACCAAGCTGAGTATAAGTTGACATTAAGGAATTCCATCCGTAGTGCTGGGAACGCCCTAGGAAAATTACGCCTTCCTGCAACATACGTGGGAAAGCATCCCATAACATTGTCTTCTTTCCCCTCGAAAGACTTGTAGCGCCTCGGGGAATTGTCATCATGCAAGGCTTCCCACAGACATCTTCTTTTCCCCCTCGAAAGACTGGTAGCGCCTCTGAGAATTGTCATCATGCGAAGACTTCCCACAGACATCTTCTTCTTTTCCCCTCGAAAGACTGGTAGCGCCTCGGAGAATTGTCATCATGCGAAGACTTCCCACAGACATCTTCTTCTTTTCCCCTCGAAAGACTGGTAGCGCCTCGGGGAATTGTCATCATGCAAGGCTTCCCACTGACATCTTCTTTTCCCCTCGAAAGACTGGTAGCGCCTCGGAGAATTGTCATCATGCGAAGACTCTTCTTTTCCCCTCGAAAGACTGGTAGCGCCTCGGGGAATCAGCGTGTCACCCACTTCATAAGACTTGGTCAGAATATACACTGCCATTACGGTTTTTTTTATCTCCAGGCCGACTGTCCACACAGCTTCAGGGCACATTTCTTACATCAATACGCCGAGCCATCAATACGCTCTTCCTCGAGCGTCACAATCATTCATTTATTTCTCATTGTCAAGTTTATTCAACTTGACAATACATTTCCTCTAACAGGAAAACAACAATTCATTAAATAATGAATCAACATACTCTTCAGGGAAGCACAAAGGTACCGTTTGATTCCCACCAAGCATTTTAAACCAAGCATCATGACTTATCAAGATTGGACTTTATACCCCGCCAGTCAAAATAAAGTAACACTCAGCTGATCAGACTGAGTTCATCAATATAATCGGACTTATCCTGGATGGGCAATCTGAATAGATTTCTTTAAAGGACTAGACATTCATGCCAAAAAGACATCAACCAATAAAGTTAATCTAATACGTCCAGAAAATGCTTATTCTTGCCTCGTACCCTAAGTACCCTGGCACAGAGGGCAAACAATTTTCCCTCTTCAAACTCCAATCTAACTCTCAAGTCATCTCTTTCCCTTACGAAATCATGCTCATGCTCAAAGTATCATTTATTCATAATGATTGTCAGATATCTTTCAAAACCCGATATCTCAATGTCTCACATATTTAATTCGTGAATACACCCCGAATTACTGGCTTCTTGGACTAGGAAGCAGTCAACGACCATGCCTAATTGAACGCATTTTTGTTGCTCTCTGACATACCAAGTACATTTAACAAATTCACTGCCAAATCATTTCAATAGATCTGTTTTCTTTTATATCATTGTTAAACATAATCATTACATAACGTTATCACTACAATCTACTTCTTTACTGTATGTACACACGGCTCACTACCGTGAAATATGCTTTCATTTAGCAATTGCCATTCACATATCAGTGGGTACACGACCGTTGACACGATACGCTTTGTCAAGGACATCCACTCCCGGGCATCTACTTATTTTTGTATTCAACTGATATCCTCATTCAATTCAGGATTAACAACTTAATTATTTTCCTGATTATCGGGAACCTAATCGATTCGCACCCTCTCTTTTGATGTCTGGACCCCAGACATTTGCCTCTCAACATGACATGGCCCTGTCTACTTTTTCTTCAACCCCTGTTATATTTGGGTACTTTTATAAATTCAGAGTAGGCTAGCAATGTTGCAGAAGCCCCTGTGTCAATTAAAAAGTTAGAATATATATAATTATTTACATGTATGTTTATATACTTCCCCTCTCAGTTGTTTGCATTCTCTATAATACATCTCTGAGAGGTTTTCTCTAGGGAGTCGTTTACTCCTTCTTTGGGGCATTAATGGCCCTCTTTTCAAGTACCACTGTCATATCCAATGGAGGTCGTTTCGTGGTTTTCAGGACCTCGTCTTGCGCAACATACCCCGACGCGGCGCCTACTTTTCCAAACGCCTTACTTTCTCCTGGGGTTGCGTAACCAGAGGGTTGATCAGGTCCTCGATGGGTCATTTTCATCTGAACCTCATCTTCATACACAGACCATACACTCCTTTTATCATCTTCTAGATAATATTGTGCATTTGTATTATCCTCCATAGCGCTTATTGATTTTTAGCTTATCAATAACAACTCTTTACGTACTACCTAGAGTTACCGTTGTTTATTTATTTTTAATTGCCTCGACAAATTACTTTATGTACAGAGACAATTGGGAGGGGGTTTACTTTGGTAACCTGATATTGTCTAACAGGCAATCAGAATTTATCAACTCAGGCGTTACATGCACTTGTTAGTATTTATTCAGATACAATGTTTTTATTATCAATTTCCACACGCATTAGTTCCTTAAGCAACTATCTAGTGTGTGGGAGTCACTTCAATCCAAACACTATTTTGGTTCAATTCGTGTTTATGGTCTATTCTCAGGGCATTCATCAAACCATATCACAATAACACAATGGCTATTTCCTATTTCAATTTCAGTACCTCGCAAGGAGTGATACCAAGTACGTGATAATATCAACTACCTGTCACTTCGAGCGCACCTTAGAAGGATCAAGCAATGTTTTCATTT